ACAATTCAGTACATCACTTTTGTGTTTCAAAAGATATGTCACCGTGAAATGCGTGAAATCGTCGATAAATGTTACAAAATATCGATATCCGTCAAAGGTGGATTCTTCGAAATAACCGCAAACATCAGAATGCACTAATTCAAGTGGTCTGCTCGAGCGAGGCATATCTGAGTTCTTGAAGTTTTCTCTAGTTTGTTTCCCAAACAAGCATGAATCACATTGCATTTTACAATTATTGAATTCACTTGATTGAATATTAAATCCTTCAATCATTGAATTTCGATGTAGTTTCTCCAAGTTTGATAGTCCTAGATGTCCAAATCGCTTATGCCAGTGAATCAAATCGTCATTCTTGCACAACATTGCTTTGTTTTCGGCAGAGGATCCATAAACATTGAGATAATACAAGCCATTCAAAAGGTGACCTCTAGCAATAACCTCACCAGATTTCTCTTGAATGACAACAGATTTATTGGAAAAATGGACTTCCTTCCCTAGAGCAACAACTCTTTTCACGGAAATCAGATTTTCCTGTAGCCCAGGAATAAATAGACAATTATACAGCTTCAAACTCTTTATTTTATTTCTTCCAATGACAGATTTCAGAGCAACCGATCCTCTTTTGGTAGCTTTCATCGATTCTCCCTCTTTTGCTGTAGTGATAATCATATCAACATCCAGATTTTCGACATCACTCATAATAACCACGTCGTTAATCATATGGTTTGAAGCACCTGAATCAATTATCTCGGCATCTAAGAACATACGATGTAAGTCGTCGAGAGGTTTCTTTTTAAGAACTGCCTCAGGAAGCATGAGGACAGCCGCCACCACATGCTTGAAGCGATCTGGTATTGCTCCGAGTGGTGTTTGAACTTTTTCCATATGGGTAGCTTGAGGATCTGCATATTCAAGCTCCATACAGAGACGTGAATGCTCCTTAAATAATTCCTCCAACGTCCGAAATTGATGGTCTCCCAATCTGAACAACTGGCGACGTAGTGAAATTGCCACCAGTGTTCCGCCCCTCTGGTATGCATTTGATAAAGCATCCATGCACTCTTTTGCATACTGGCAATGCATCAGTTTCTGTAGAGGCTTATTACCGATGGTGAAGATGATTTCGTCAATTGCCTCGCAATCATCCTCACAGCGTTTCTGATACAACGCCTGCCGTTGCTCTTCCTCTTCTTTTGACGCACAAGGGTCTGATATTCCATATGGTTCTTGGCGAGGAGTACGCAGCAAGGTGTAATCCAGCTTGAGTCTTGCAAGGTGATGCATAAGACGCCATTTCCAAGGAGTGAATTCTTTTTCATCTCCTTGAAATATACCAACAAGCTGACTACGGCGTTCGATAAGCATCACTGTGGATGCATTTGGTACCATAGGATTTTCCATCCTGTTTTTAGTTTCCGCAACCCGAATTCCATTTCCCGCGGTTACTTGTATTGTCGGAAATTCCAAGGCACTGCTCCGGTTTCTACCAGTCGATACATCAATCTGATCACTACTGATTATTCTGCTGAGTCGATCGCTACCGGATATTCCGCCAAGCCGGGTGCTACCGGATACTCCGCCGATCCGGTTGCTACCGGATGGTTCACCAAGCCAGTTGTTCCCCGACTCACCACCGAGCCGGTCGATACCGGACGCTCCGTTGAGCCGAACGTTACCAGACGCTCTGCTGAGCCGGTCATTACCGGCCGCTCCGCTGAGCCGATTGTTACCGGACGCTCCGTCAAGCCGGTCGTTACCGGACGCTCCGCCGAGCCGGTCGTTATCGGCCGCTCCACCGGGCCGGTCGTTACTGGCTGCTCCGCCACTCCAGTTAACACCAGATGGACTACCACTCCGGATACCACTGGAAGTTCTGCTTCGATCCACGCTCCTAGATCCGGAGGCTTGTCTGCGCCTTCTGAGCTCCATTCTCTCCTGACTACTATCCGTAGCCTGACTGCTCTCCTGACTGCTATCCGCAGCCGACTGGTTCTTCTGATCCATTCTTCAGAATTTGTCGTTCTCGGATATGGGTTGCTGGGCCCATAACCTGTTGAATAGTATTCGAGAGGTTAACTACCTCAAACTATTTATTCTTCTTTTGGCTATCCACCAAAGAACTGTAATTTGGAAGTAAAACTGATCTGTACAAAGCATTCCCTCACTAGTCATTCGTCTGTACATAGTTGTGTTAGCGATTTCTTCAATATTACACATAGCAATGATAGAAACGGTTAAGCCGCGTTAACATTATACAGTTCGGTTCAAAAGTATTGGTAATAAAAATTGCCTTACTCAACAAATATGCCCAGCATATAAAAAAGGCGACAAACTAGAATGTGAGAACTATCGAGCGATCACTATTCTTAACGCGGCCTACAAAGTGCTTTCCCAGATCATCTTTCGCCGTTTATCGCCGCTAGCAAGCAGATTTGTGGGAAGTTATCAAGCCGGTTTTGTGGACGGGAGATCGACAACCGACCAAATCTTTACGTTGCGGCAGATCCTCTAAAAGTGTCGTGAATATCAAGTCCCTAAGTCCCACGTATTAATCGATTTCAAGGCCGCTTATGATACTATTGACCGTGAAGAGCTATGGAAGATTATGGACGAGAACGGTTTTCCCGGGAAGCTGACCAGACTGATCAGGGCTACGATGGATGGTGTACAGTGCTGCGTGAAGATATCGGGTGCGTTAGCGGACTCGTTTGAAACTCGCAAAGGACTTCGACAAGCCGATGGTCTTTCGTGCCTCCTGTTCAACATTGCGCTAGAAGGTGTTATCAAACATTATGAAACATTAACATGCGAGGAACGATCTTCAATAAGTTCAGCCAGTTCATCTGTTTCGCTGACGACGTGGACATTGTTGGAAGAACGTTTCAGACCGTGGCTGAGCAGTACACCTGGCTGAAATGTGAAGCAGAGAAGGTTGGATTAAAGGTGAATACGTCGACGACAAAGTGTCTGTTAGCTGGACGAATTGAGCGGGAAGGGCTCTCATAGGCAGAAGCGTAACAATCGACGGAGATGAGTTCGAGGTGGTGGATGACTTTGTGTACCTCGGATCATTGGTGACGTCGGATAACAACTGCAGTAGCGACATTCTTTGGCGTATTATTGCCGGAAGTCGTGCTTACTACGGACTCCATAAGACCCTGAGGTCGGGTAAATTTCACCTACGTACTAAATGTACCATGTACAAGACGCTGATAAGACCGGTAGTTAGCTACGGGCACGAGACGTGGACGATGCTCGAGGAGGACCTGCAAGCCGGGACGGGACTTGACAATCGAGCTTCTCACTCTTCTTAATGTTTTTGAAGAATGCCCTTCGGAAACTTGTGCGTGTTGTTTGACGGAGTTGACCAGGGATGCCAGGAATGTAAAATATTTTTTCTTTTTTAATTTGGATTTTATTCGGAGTTTCTACTGCAGTTTAGCAGCGTGTACATCATTTTGCTCAAAACAATAAAAACAACCATAAACAAACCACAATATCCATCGCTTTAAACACGCAGTGCACTAAATTTTACAACTTTCTTTCTGCAAATATAAACAATTAACAATACCATTGACGTCAACATTGATTCCGGCATCACTGCCAGCCAGATTGATGCGATCCCTTTGTCCTTTTTATTCCACGATTGCTACTGTCAAATCGACCAATCAGAAACTGGCTCGGATTTGACAGCAAATTGGCTCGAAATCGCTACTCGATTGTCAAGTCCCGTCCCAGCCTGCAAGCACTGGGTATTTTCCAAGGGGGGGGGGGGAGGTGGCTGTCAAATACGAACAATCGTCGCCTACATCGCATAACTAGTTCCAAACGTAAACAAGCCATAAGAAACCTACAGGGTTTGTTTACGTTTGGAACCAATATCATACAAGAATGATCAGTAGGCTGATTTGACAGCACGTCCCACCCCAGGTGTTTTCGAACGACGAGTGCTTAGGACCATCTTTGGCGGGGTATGTGAGAACGGTGTATGGAGGCAAAGGATGAACCACGGCGCAACTCTATGGCGAACCCTGTATCCAGAAATTTGCGAAGGTGATGGGCGGGACACGTTTTATTTAAGAATGCCGGACAACAATCCCGCAAAAATGGTGTTTGCCTCGAATTCGGCCGGTACAAGACCAAGAGGAGCACAGCGAGCAAGGTGGTTAGACCAAGTGGAGCCAGGATCTTGGAAGTGTGGGACGGTCAAGAAATTGGAGACAAGCAGCCATGGACCGTGTGAATTGGCGTAACATTGTGATGCAGGTGCAATCCTGAGGGATGTCGGACCAGGATAAGTAAGTAAGTATTTGCACATAAAATTCACTAAAGGTAATAAACCTGCCTAGCTGCCCAATGTAGGTATTGAGTGAATGGAATTGAATCCCAGATCATCACGGTGCTGACTCAGGTGGAACTGTGACAGCACACCATATCCTGCTGCTTTGGATCGTATCTTATCTATAATAAATAGAAATTCAAATAAATGTCTGACCCTGATTACAAATGAAAAACTGATCTTACTACAACTAACAGTCCGTCGATCCAATATTAATGTTAAATTACTATGTACATACGACTAAATTTCACATAATTAAATAAACTATTAAACTTTTGCTTCCGTCTGAGTTTTTTTTTTTTTTGAACGTTTTCCTCTGCTTTATTTTTTATTATAAGCATTTTTTAAAACAAATTCAGCTCAGGATTATGAATGGTGCACGATTTAAAATGATATCAACTTCATATTGATTTTTTTTTTGGAAACATACAAAGATTCTGTTTAGGTGAACAGCGTTTGCAAATGAACATCAACAACAGATGATAGTAATTAACAACAAATGTATGATCAAATTGACAACATATTAGAAGACAAATGATGTTAAATTATTAGTTTTTACATAAAGTCATACATTTTCGAAGCAAAATAAAACTATTTAGTCTGCTAATCCATGAAAGGTGAATGAGTTTATTAACTAAATCATACCGGACAGAGAACGTGTCAACGCAAGTAGTTGATCACTCGATTAATGGTAGCCAGAATCACACAGTAAACAGGGATATCTAAATTAGTTCTAAGCCATAGACCTGCGTTTCTACAACAAAATAATTAAAAAAAAACTACTTTCCCTCCGTAGTCACTAGCCCCTCATCATAATCTAAGTTTTCAGATGATCCCTCATCGTTCAGGAATATCAGATGCTTCAACGACCTTGGCAATTTCTCAAGCTCTCCTCGTCCGAACCTATTACCCTGCACATGAATCTCGTTAACTCTTGGGATTGCTCTCAGAAAACCTTCCGGCAAAGTGTCCAATCGATTGTTACTCAAATCCAACCCTATCAAGTTGGTGGGAATCATTTCATCCGAAGGCAACAAGATACTTCCGGCTGATGAAATATTAAGTGATACAAGATGCTTCAGTTTATGAAGTCGATGCAAATCAAAGTCAAGCAGCTTATTGTTCGATATGTCAAGTGTTTCCAAATGTGATAGCTTGAATACGTCGCCTATATTGCTAAGCTTATTGAAGCCTAAATTCAGTGTTCTCAAATTGTACTTTTCCGAAGAAACGAGATGAATTCCTGAGATTCGATTGACTGAAGCATGCAGTGTAAGCAGATTGGAGTGGATGAAGCAGTCCGTTAGGTTGTTTCCCGTGACATCTAACATTTGAAGACTCGAGTGATTGAGAATGAAATCTCGTTGGACAAAGTTCAATTCATTCCATGAAACGTTCAAGCTCTGTATTGACGGTAGATTCAATTCTGATGGGATTTTCGCGATTCGGTTAGTATCCAAGGAGAGAACTTTTAATAAAGGAAGGGAACTGAAGGTCTCAGGCAAAATTGATGTAATCTGGTTTCTGGCCAATGAAAGTTGAGTTAGCTTTGTTGTTGCCTGAAACCATCTAGGATTCACCGTGCCTAATTTGTTCCCAGATAGATCAAGATGTTGCAAATCAGCACAATCATCGAAAAAGTTGGGTGGAAATGACACAATCAGATTGTTGGTTAGTGCCAAAGTTTGCAATAATTTTACGTCATGGAGGAAAAGACTTGGAGAATTATTTATTTTCGTATCTGAAATTGTTAACTCCAGTAAATTGGCAAATCCATTCAGAAAAGATTCATCCAGTGATTCCTTCCTCAAGGAGTTAATATGAAGTTTTACGAGAACAGCTCGATTTAAGGGCAGCAGGACGTCCACACTTGATTTCAAAGATTCTAACTGGAACTCCTGTGATGTATCAATCGTGTCCTCGGAATGAGGCACGATTTTATTGTGATCTAACTCGAGCTGTTTCAAACCAGCATTTTTTATTAGAGATCCAAAATCAATAGTCGTGAGATGATTTTTAGATAGTTTCAATATTTCTAGAGATACAACTCCGTCGAAAACATGCGAAGAAATTTCATGCAAAGAATTATTACTGAGGTCTAGTTCTCTCAAACGATGAAGATTGTGGAAAGATCTCTCAAAAATTTCAAAAATACCGTTATCCTTCAAGATCAAATGCTCAATAGATGGTTGATTTTTAAATGAACCTTCATTGATTTGCCTGAGCTTGTTACCAGCCAAATTCAAATACACGAGTTTAAGCCCTTGGAATGTATATTCATCAATAGTTTCCAGCAGGTTACATTCAAGATTTAAAAATGCAATTGCCGATCCATAGAAAGCACCCTCTTCAATAACCGAAATCTTGTTAAAGGACAATTCAACCGAGTTCAGGTGAAATAGCCCCGCAAAGGTGTTGCCTCTAATGGTTGTAAGTGAATTGCGTGATGCTGTGATGTGATGCAGTTTTGGATTAGCTTTAAACAAGGTAATGGGAATCTCAGTTAATTGGTTATAGTCGAGGTATAACTCCGAAAGGTCGATGAGCCCATCAAACGCATCATCCTCCAAAGAAATAATTTTGTTTCCATACAACAATATCACTGAAATGTTTCCTGCTTCACTGAAGGTGCTAGATCTCACAATTTCAATGTGATTATTATGTAATCTTACATCACTACCTAGCTTTTTCCATATATTTCTTGGGATTGTACTTATTTGGTTTTGACTTAAATCTAATTCAATTGAATCACTTTGGACCTTCAACAATGCTGTAGGAACGTTCGCCAAGCAGTTGCCTTTGAGATTCACTATGTGTAGATTCGTCAAGGCGTTAAACAATCGATCGTTAATACGCTTTATCTCATTGCCTTGTAGATGAACCTCACTCAACCGATTCAAATTATTAAACAATCCCAGTGGGAGAGCCTCGAGAAAATTTCCAGATAACAGAATAACCTTCACGTTTTCAAGTCCTTGAAACGACCCCGGACTGAGCCGTTCGATCAAATTATAAGAGACATCCAACTGTTCCAGCGATGTCAATCCTTGGAAAGTGTCATGTCCCAGTACTCGAAGAAAATTTTCCCTCAAACCCAACTCCGTCAGATTCGTCAATAGTCGGAAAACTCCACCAGTCAAACGTTCGATTTGGTTGTCGCCCAAGCTCAAATACTCCAGCTCACGAGGAATCCAGAAATGGTTTCGGTTTATCTCAGCGATTGCATTCCCATGCAGCTCTAGCTTCCTCAGTTCTGGACAGTTCTCAAAAGCATGCTCAGGCAATTGTTTCAGATTGTTGAATGAGATATTCAAGTTCCGTAGCTGGTTCGTATCAGCAAAAATACGCTCCGGGAGATTGGTGATCAAATTGTAGGAAAGGTTAACGTCTTCTAAATCTGCACATCCCTGGAATGAATCCTGGTGCACAGCTTTCACTCGCAATTCAGCCAGATTCACAGAACGGATTTCATTGAGATTTCGTAACAGTGCCGGTGAAATGAAATCGATGGAAGATTCGATAAATTTGATCGAAGATACGTTTGCCACCGTAGGTAATTGCAACGAAACAGCACCATCCTTGTCCGAAGTTAGGTGAACGGAATGAAAAACGCACACGTCATCTGTGTTCACGACACATTGAATCGATTGGTTCGCCGACACGAAATGCTGACTCAAAAGAACTATCACCCATGAAGCAAATCTGAAATTATTGCAAGTTTTAAGCTTACGGGGACTTCAATTACCGATTCAGTTTACTCACAACGAAAGAGGCAACATCTTGAATGCGATGCTGCTTGGGTGAAGTCCCACTAAGAACTGTAACACCGTAACACGTTGAACGAATTAATCAATCGCGAACAGTTGTTTGTAAACATAAACGCTCATCGATTTGATAAGGATGTGCGTACTTATGCAACAGAAGGGGATTGGTGCCTTATCAAGCGTAATAATAACTCAAGTTAAAGATTTCTACTACCGTGTTTGGAAATATGAGATAAGTAATTGAGGTGATCATTTAAAAAAGCGTTTAAGTCCGAATTTCAATAAAATTTAAATATTCACTCACATAAATGCCTAGCGGCATTGAAAGCTGTACCACCCATTTCAAGATCACTTCCGTTCTTTGAAATGTCATTTACTCAATGCCGTGCTCTATTATTTTCATTTCATACCGTCAAAAAACAGTTTTTATTACGAAAATCAACCTGTGGCAGTTTATCCAAGAACAACAACTCAAGGCATTAGTTTGCCGCAGTATCGTAATCCGGGGGCAAACTGATCACCGGGATGAAATTGATCATTATGGGTTGCGTTTTTAGTCGTCACGTATGATATTGTTCGTGATAGTTATCAAGACGATTCTTGATAACATTTCATCATGTGACTCCAGTGATTGCTTTGACGAGTTTCTTAAAACAAAAACTTAGATTTTACTCCATAACTTTCAAATTTATTTAGCTGACGTTCAATAGCATTCACTATCAGCAAAATGAAGAAAACGAAGTTGCGAGCCGTAGGAGTAATCGTTCTATCCGATCAACAACGAAACGGCAGAGGATTGGATCGTTGGGCAGGTGAATGTAATCAGCCGAACTAGCCCCGACGTCAATACGCCAGTGTTTTCGGTCAAAGCTCCAGTGAAGCAACGGACTTCTACCCCAATCCAGGACGAAGTTTTGGATCTACTCCGTCTCCAGAACGATCCCGTTCCATTCAACGATATCGACCTTACTACTGGAAGTACCATGATCGGCGACAACGGCGACAACGAGCTCGTTGGTGAACCTTCAATCGATACGAAATGTATGAATGATGAACCCAAGCCGATCGTAGCACGCACGGGGACAATACCAAAACTTGTGAGGAGAACGGTGGTACCGTGAGTGGAAAAGCAGCAGCAGTAGAGCAGATGATGCTATTGCAGCTTCAACAATTTTCACAGATAGGAAGCGAATACGAAGAAGCAGTTACAGGAGTTTGCTGAAAGGCAGTCCGCCATGGAAGTACTCCCAAGTAACAATTTAGGTTTTATAAGGGTTCTGTAGACCATGATTAAGACTTGTAGCAGACTTTTAAACCTCCATAAAACTTGCAATGTTACTTGGGCTAGGTCTAGTAAAAGGTTATGGTGCCTTGTAGTCCATTCATATTTAGGCAGACATCCCTAATTTCAGTGCGATACTGTTTTTAGTTTTGTTTTGACAGCTGCTTGTTGTTGACGTATTTGGCATCATATTGAGTATGGATAAATACGATTTTCGTTCTCTCATAAAACATTATTTTTGAGAGGCAAAACGGCGAAGGAAACAAAAGAAAAGTTGGATGAATATTATGGGGCTAATACTCCGTCAGATTGCACCGTCAAATATTAGTTTCGAGAGTTTCGTGGTGGACGCAACTCCACTACCGATCAAGTTTGCAGCGGCAAGCCCTCCGATGCGGTTACAGAGTACAATGTCAAAAAAAAAATACATGAAATCAAGAACAACATGTGAAAAGGGCATACAAGCTTTTTCTAAACAAACCTTTGTAGGCCCTTTTCTCACCAACCGAGGGTCGCCCACGCAAACCAGCAATATCATCGGGAAGGGGAAAGTGTCCCCTAGTGATGTTATAGGTTTGCGTTGGTGTCATATGGGTGGCGAGAAAAAGGGCATAAGAAGGTTTGTTTACAAAAAGCTTGTATGCCCTTTTCACATGTTGTTCTGGAAATGGTGTTGGCTGACCAGGAAGTGAAGGTGCGTGAGCTAGCAGATACCGCAATGATTAGTACAGAGCGAACACGCCATATTTTGGGCGAGATTCTGCATATGAAAAAGTTAACGTGCCGCTGGGTGCCGCGCAAGCGAACGTGAAAGCACTATGAAAGAGTGTTTGGACTTGTTGATGCGGAATCAGGCGGACTTTTGGTGTAAATTGGTAACTTTTGGTGTCGGTTGGTAACTGTTGATGAAACCTGGATCCACTATTACACCCCAGAGAACAGAATGAGTGCCCGGCAATGGACTGAATCCGGCACGAGTGCTCCAAAGCGGCCGAGGGAGACTCGATGGTTCAGAAAGGTTATGGCGTCGGTTTTCTGGGATTGTCATGACATACTCTTCGTGGACTACCTCGAAAAAGGAAAAACCATCAACAGCGAGTATTACTGTGAACCGAAATCGCTGCAAAACGGCCTCACATGAAACGAAAAAAAATGTTTTTGCAATACAATGCGCCGGCGCACAAGAGCATCGCAACCACGGCTAAAATTAATGACTTACGGCTCTAATTGCTTCCGCATTCACCGTATTCGCCCGATTTGGCTCCCTCAGACTATTATCTCTTCCAAAACCTCAAAAGATGGCTCATCTATAAAAAAAATTTCAGCTCACGTGAGGAAATTACCGACGCCGCGGAGGAGTATTTTGCAGACCTTCCGGAAAATTACTTTTTCGGACGGGATCATGAAGTTGGAAAATCGCTTGAATAAGTGTATCGAGCTTAAAGGAGAGCTGCTGAAGAACAGCTGAAGAACTAGCTTGAATCGTTGAGCCAGCCGAATCCACCCCCAATGCGACCCCACCCTCACGCATACCCACATTCGCACCAGGAGCAACTGGACCATCCAGTTCCCAGGGATAACAGGTTTGTCAACAGTCCATATCCGGTAAGTGATGCACCACCTATTTCAGGGGTAATAAAGGTAGAACCTCAACTAAACTACCAAAATTATGGCTACTTCAAACTCTGCACCAATATCACCGATAAAACCTCCAGCACTTCCTTCACGCATGTGTCAAGTGGGGAAATTCATTCCTGCGTCTGCTGGTCACGGTTCTCAATACGAAGTGCTTCGTCCAACACAGCAACAGTTGGGTACAAAGATGCACAGCAAAAAAATATATTTTAATATCGCATCAAAGTAGATGCACTTCAATCGAGTCTAAAATATTTTCTAATATTACTTTGCAAAAGGGACAAAATTATCATTAATACAGTGCATGAACTGACATAACGTAAAAGCACTGCATTTGTTTATTTTTGTGGTCATAAAAATTACATGATATGTTCGACATGATTGAAGTGCATCATCTTGGATGTAATATTAAAATTTATTTATTTTTTTTGTGTGCCATGAATCAGTTAAGACCATTACAAAAGTTAAGGGGGTATTCCCGATCTTTTTTTTTCAAAAAATCAAATTTTTTTTTTCACGTTTTTTTGTACTTTAGACTATATACTTTCATCCCCCCAAGCCGTTTTCCGATCAGCGAATTCGGTGTCCAGGCATAGCTGACTAATGGTAAGAACCCCCAAATGGTTTTAACTAAAGTCAAAACTTTAAACGCGTTTTTCTCGAAACCACATTTTTTTTATCGGGCGAAGATTTTTCTCAGAAACTATAAGAGATATTGACTTGAATCTTTGCGCATTTTGTTCCTTATTAAATTCTTTGGAGCTTCTCCCACTTTCAGCCAAAAATATTAACATTTAACATTGTTTGAAGCACCTTAAAGTTGCAAAAAATCGGGCTAAAAATCGCCTGTTTTTTCATATGGCCGCCATTTTGTTAATTTGCAAGATTTTTTGCTGCCAACGGGAGAAGCTCCAGAGAATCTTATGCAGATTATTAATTTCATCACGAAATCTGTTTCAGATGAAGCCGTTCCAGAGAAAAGTCTTCGCCCGTCCAGGCGTTTGTGGCGAACAGGGGTCTGTTTGTCGCCATTTTGTAACGTCAATAATGTCTTTTTTTATGTCGAAAAAAATTTATTTGTAAACTTTAATGTTCAATAAACAAGAATCCCAAAGAGTTAGGCGCATTACTATTCATTTTCCTTGAAAAAAAAATTAATTGAAAAACAGGCCGAAAAAAGGCAAAAGATTGGGAATACCCCCTTAAGGGATATCTTGCAGAAGAAAAGCATTTTGGCCAGTTTGAATATTGAATAGTGTAATAATCTGCAGAACAATCATCAAACAGAATATTAACATTGGAATTGATTTGAGCACTGCACTGGACCGGACTCGGAAAAAATGAGACACACGAAAATGATCACCAAACATTCATTTTAAATCGGCTACTTCTCAAATTTTCAGGGATTTAATAACTATATATTAGCTATGTTTTGGCATAATTTATTTATTGAATTTCCTCCCCCAAGCTGAATGCTCGTACATTTCTCTTAACACTGATCATGAGATCTTGGGCGAGGCTTTGCCCATCTTCCTTACACAACTTCTCCCAGTTTTTCTTCAAAGCTTCATCGGTTTTGAATGTTTTTCCGCTTTTCTTCAACTTCTTCTTCATTATTGCCCAAAACTTTTCGATCGGACGAATTTCTGGTGTATTTGGCGGGTTCGCCTCCTTCGGGACCACATTAACGCCCTTCGCTTCGTACCAATCCATTACAGGCTTGGCGTAATGGCACGAAGCGAGATACGGCCAGAACAGCGTGGGACCACGGTGAGAGCGGAGGAAGGGCAGCAAGCGCTTCTGCAAGCATTTCTCTCGATAAATCTGCCCGTTTATGGTGCCGGTTGTAACGAACGGCTTGCCTGCCACAACAGGTACTTCTTCGCGAATTTGTCCATCTTTCTCTTCCGGAACTTTTCCGGAACCTCCATGCGGGACGTACCAACAAAAAAAACTCGAGGCCGGGGATTTGATCGGTGTCCGCCTTGATGTATGTCTCGTCGTCCATGACGAGACAGCCTGGCTTGACCAGCCACTCACGGTACAGCTTCCGCGCACTCAATTTGGCCACCGTGTTTTGCTTGTCAGTCCGGTTTGGCGACTTCCTGACACGTAGCCCAGCCCACTTCATGGTCTGCTGGACGAACCACTTCGACGAATTGACCTTTTTGGCCACGTCTCGGGTGGAAAGGTTCGGGTTATTCTTAAAGTACTGCCTTATCTTCCGCGCCTTCTCTGGGTATTCCGTTTTAGGTTTTCGGCCGCTTCCAGCGCGCCGCTCGATGGTCTTTGTCTCCTGGAACATCTTTACAACGCGGGACACGGTGGAATGGTGGATACCAAGCCTTTTGCCGATCCATCTGTGCGACTGACCAGGATTATCGATCACCGCGCCCAAGATTTGCTGGCGTAGCTCTTCTTGTTTCGAATGCATCTTGAAAACCACTTGACAGATCGCGATAAAATTTTGCACACCTATACATAACACTCTAAACTAGTATTACCCAAAATTTTATTAATTTTTACCAACGTGATAAAAAGTTACACCCAAAACAAAGTGTCGCATTTTTTCCGAGTCCAGTCTTTATTCCATGAGCGGTGTTTTGCATTAAAATCACCAATAATGAAGAATTTAGACCTACGACGGGTAAGTTTCTGAAGGTCACCCTTGAGAAAATTCTTTTGCTGACTTACGTATTCGAATGGCAAATAGGCAGCAATAAAAGTTTCCAAAACTTTAGTTTCAAATGCAGAAAGAATGATCATTTCTATAAATGAAATAATTTGCGTCCCCTAACCATAAGGTTAACGTTTCAGTTGTAACGGCGATATGCAGGTTATGAACTCTCAAAAAGTTAAATAGCTCGTCTTTGTTATTTTTAAGAGATCGAGCATTCCAATTTAAATATATTTACACTGAAAATAAAATTTCGTTTATACAACGAAATCGCTCGTTCGTTCTACGAATTTATTCGTTGTTTTCTGCAACGAAATGGATTTGTACATTGTATGAAGCTAGTTTCGTTAGAACTGCCACACTCGCTATCGCTACACCCAACCAGCGGTCCACAAGTGTTGGTTGTGGAAACCGAAAAATGTGGAGTGTGTTAGTGAGGCTGGGTAAAAATAACTTCATCATTGGAAGGAATAAATATGACAAAAAATAAAAATAGGCTTCAGACCGGACTCGACTCATGTACCTTGCGATCGTTAGATTTGTGTTTTATTCATCGCTCTACCTGTGCTATGAGAAATGGTATAGCTAAAGACAAATAAGAAGCACTCATGGAGCGGTACTTCGATTTCTCTTGCTTTTTTTGCTGCTTGCATGTATTTTTTTTCTCTAACATAAAACCACCGCGACGAGTAATTTGATTTATTGTGGTAGCTTGCATGTATTGGTCAAACCGACAATATTTCTAAAAAAAAATATCCCATCTCCAATCAGCACTTTAGGAGACAATAAGCGAAGTTGTTGGTTTGATTGTACGAAGATGTATTTGTATATTATACGAATAAGGCGTAATATTGACATTGCGCCAGATGACAGGAAAAACGAATGTTTCGTACCATTTATGAAAGATGTGTTGTATGTACGATATTCATTTTTACGAAACGGTTTTCAGAGAAATAACGAAAATACATTTTCAGCGTAATGATTTAAAATCCATTGCTGAATTTAAAGGCCATGACGATATTATTCGCAAATTTTATTTCAGTTTGAATAGCATCAAACATGGAGTTAGTTTTTAGCATATCAGTAATCATGTAAATTAATGATTTCTGTAAAAATTCCATTTTAGGATCAGTAATGCTTCCTAAGTCAAAATTGTCAAAATTTCCGATAGAATTACGTTGGCTCATAGTATTTTGATTTGTACCCACTGCAATAGCAGCATAGGATTTACTAGATGAACATTGCTAGCAGCGAGGGGAGCAGGTATAGATGAAGAATTTGAAGCAGGAGTGATATTTGTACCTCCGGGTACGACTGTAGAATTTGTTCCTCACTGACCGTTGTTAACATCAGAGGAACTTGTACCTTTTTATTCATGCTTTTAGCTGGCATGTAGCAATTTTTTGTTCCGTGGCCCCATCCCTGGCACTTACGGCACTGGGTGAGGTTTTGGAAATTTTCTCCAGTCTTCCTGAAGTGTTCCCACTTCACTTGGACATGGAGCATAAGGCTAGCTTTTTCCAAGGCCTTAAGGTTGTTTAGTTCACTAGATTTGATGTGTACTGAATAAAAATCATTATAAATCCCGTTGCGCGAATTGCCAGGACGGGATTTCATTTTCATTTTGATTACTGACTGGCACAACTCCAAGTAATTTTGCCAGTTTATTTTTGATCTAATCCAGGGATTCACCACTGGGCAGACCTTACAAGATAACCTTGAACACACGTTCAGTCTAAGGTTTCAGCCAATACAATACGCCCCGACCAATTTGCAGTGAAAACTTGAATTTAACGAGGTTCAAAAGTGCCGCGCAAAGAGCATGGAAATTGGAAGTGGCTACCACAATAGGGAGGACTTTTCCTTCTTGGCATTAAGCCAGGGAAGTTTTCAAGAATTTTTCTGGATGATGGATCATTCATCATTCAATTGATTTCTCAAATTACTTTCATCAGAAGGGAGATCAAGAGATTCCCCTTTTCTTTTGCGTTTCTCCGAATCGACTTCCAAACAGATTGCTAAAAGAATCCGAAGGATCGAAGAGAAGTTGTCTAAACCGATATTCAAGCAGAATTTCCATTGGGTAGGGTTTCAATCAAAGATTGAAGAGGAATACGAAAAGAAGAAGGACGAAAATATGCAGGTAATGTTTTGCACTGGAAAGTGCTGCTTAATTTTTTTGTAGCGTTAGGTAGCAGTAGCACTTCTTTCAGCAAAAATCAATTAGATCCACACGGCAAGAAAGCTCGATGTGGACCGCATCAAATATATTATTGACACTATTCCATGATATTTCTGCTCTCAAAAGGCTATTTTGAGCTTCACGGACTCATAAAGATTTTCAAGACATTATTCAAGCCTGTAGAACTTCAAGATCTTATCCCTAGAATACATTGAGGAATATTAAATATCTTGTGGGAGACCAGCATAGTGTTTAACATTACTATCTCTCACGCCAAAGTCACGAGTTCAAATTTCATCACAGACAAGCCAGGAAGGACACAATACCACTCTTGTGGTGAAACTTTGCCTCCTTGAGCACTGGGTGGTGTGAAAGATAGCACCGTTTTACCACCAGTTCAGTTTCATCCACCTCCCGCATGTGGCCAAGCTTGACGTATTCCTCCATGAAAGCGTTGTATTGCTTACGTTCCTTGGAGACGCCGGTATGCGATGTCCTGAGACTCGCCCAACAGTGAAATGGCATCTTCAACCTTCGGCAGTGAGACGGTGTACCCACCATCCGAACCTCGTTGAACCGTGTTGACATAATAATCTTCACACTGTTTTTCTTCTAGCGAGATAACCTTGCCTGACTCAACCTCCTCGCAGAACCAGAAGCGAGAAATTAACTCATCCAGGCCAACTAGTGATGATATGTTGCAACTGATATGCAGAGAGCGATTTGGTTCTGAACTGCCACCACTAATTATCCATCCAAACACGGATTCGTTTAGGGTTGGAAGATGTTCCCCCAGGGAAATTCTCCGTCCGATTTCGAAAAAGTCGAAAAAGCATTCGATACCTAGCACGAGATCCACTACGGTCGGTTCGAAGAATGTAGGATCCGCCAGTTGAATCCCACTTGGTAGAGTCCACGTATCCGTATTGACGGTGGCTGTTGGAAGATTTACCGTAACTTTTGGAAGAACCAGATAGTTCAATTCACGAGAGAAGTCAGAAACTCGTGACCGCAGTACCGCTCGAATCCTTTGCCGAAACCTTGTAGCCGCTTGACCAATCCCGGCTACCGAAATATCCACCCGATTTCGAGCAACCTGTAACCGCTGACTCATCGCTCCGTAATTAAATTGCTTTCGGATCCCGAGTCCAGTAGAGCGCGAGCTGGATGACGATTTCCAACGTCGTCCTCGATAACCACAACTACTGTTGCGAAAAGCACCTGGGTAGGTCTTTGGTGAGCTGCAGCGGACATTGCAGTTTCCGTGTGGCAGCCACGGAAACTGCAGCGTCCGTTAGCCACTTGCGTATCGGATGAGCTCTTGTTGGTCCTCAGAAGTGAACGATTTGCTGCCCCCAGCAACTGCAGCAACCTTGGTTTCCTATTCCTTCCTCTGCTTGAAGCATACTAAAGTATGGTGACGTCCCTTGCAGTTCCTACAGGAGTATTTTGAATGACAGTCCTTGGCTTGATGTCCTGTCCTGAAGCAGTTCCGACAGAGTCCATTGGATTTTACGAGACCATCCCTGTCCGATACTGCCATCCCCTGGAATTCATTGCAATGATGGAGAAGGTGATCCGAAGAACAGGCAACGCAGCGTCCCCTAGACGCTTGAGAATTGATCGGAGCTGACTTGCACATCCTAGTGGAAGGTTTTGAACGGATTGTGCAGATTCTCGACCAGCTCATCCAACCGGTTGACTATAAAGAGCGGTTGACTATAAATACCACTCTAGTGGTAAAACTTTTGTGACTGTGATAAAAAATAAAAGTACCTTATTGAAACCATTCAATGGTGTGCATTTTGTCAAAAGGCTATCTTGAGCTTCTTGAACTTATAAAGATTTGCAAAACTTCATTGGATCTGTAGAAATTCAATATGTATTTATGTGATGTTGATGATGCGCATGTTATTAAGAGGCTTGCTTGAGCATCATTGACTCATACAGATTTGCAGGACATTATTCAAGACTACATTCTGTCTGTAGAACTCCAAAATCTCCAAAATTGTTAGAATAGCATTAGGCAGAGGGCGACAACGCTGAAGTACAAGTCTTCAGCGAGGATCTCGTAGCAGTGGCAAAACCCGAGCAGGAGAAAATAACTAATGAATACCTAATTCTGACCTGATTCCAAAATTTAGTGCTGATCAGCCTGACATAAGGGGTGAAATATCAAAGATTAATACCAAAAAAATGCATGCAAAATACTTTGTAAATAACTAAAATTGGTATTTGTATACCAAAAGAATACCTGCGTGGTATTATTTTGGTTTTGCATTTGCATAATTTTGTAATGAAATTGTATATTGGGAACATTTTTTTGGTATTTTTTTTTTTTTTTGTATTTTACCTCTCATACATACTAATTTAAGGTATCGATATATTCGTTCCTGTTTGGGAAGGATTGAAGGTGAAGAAACCCGAGCAGGAACGAATATCTCGATACCTTAAATTGGTATGAATAAGCATGACATAAGTGGTAAAATACAAAAAAAATTGTTTGAATGGTGTTTTCGTTAACCTTCCTAAGAAAATTTACATCTTTGTGTACGCTGACGGCATTATCCTCCTGATCCCATAAAGGCACTACGTAGAAAGATGGGCGCTGCCACAAGAGCAGTCTCCCTTTAGACATCACTGGCTGGCTTCCACCTCTCAGCCGTAAAAAATGCACACTAGTGCACATCTGCTCTCACCATCATGCCGTCCTTACCCGAGCAGGAGAAAATAACTTATGAATACCTAATTCTGACCTGATACCAAAAGTTGGTATTGACCAGCATTACATAACAGGTAAAGTACCAAATAGTAATACCAAAAACTTGCATGCAAAATACTTTGTAAATATCGAAAATTGATATTTGGATACCAAAATAATACCTGTGTAGTATTGTTTTGGTATTGCATTATCATAATTTGGTATTGGAATGGTATTGTGGGAACATTTTTTTGGTATTATGTTTTGGTATTTTACCTCTTATGTCATGCTCATCCATACCAATTTGAGGTATCGAGATATTCGTTCCTGCTCGGGTTACACTCCCATCTGTATCAATGGTACAGCTATTCCCATCAGGAGGTCAGCCCGTATCCTCGGAGTTCGAATTGACCGACATTTGACCTTTTCTGCCCACTTTGACGAAGTCAGGAACTCCTGCAAGACACGTCTTAATCTGCTACGATCCATCGCAGGTCAATACCCAGACAGTAACTTACCCATTCGGCTTCGAGTTGCTAGAGCAATTTTGGAATCACGTCTCCTTTATGGAATCGAAGTTACCTGTCTCGCTCGCGAACAACTTATTACAAAACTAGTCTCTATATACCATCAATCCGGCCTACTACCATCCACACCTGCAATTGCAGCTTGCGTCGAAAGTGGAGTACTACCATTCAACCTTCTAGTTACTCAGGCCATCTGCAACCGATCAATTAGCTTCGAGGAGAAGGCAGCTGGCTCAGATGAAGGAGTTTTCCTCCTTACCAAGGTTAAACAACTCCTTTCATCCATTGCCAATCTGGAGCTCCCCTCGGTGTCTAGCATACATTGGTGTGGAGCCAGAGATTGGAATCTACTCGGGCCCATTATCGACTTGGCAATAAAGAAGAAGTTCAAGGCAGGATCCAACTCTACCCTAGCAGGAACGAATATCTCGATACCTTAAATTGGTATGGATGAGCCTGACATAAGAGGTAAAATACCAAAACATAATACCAAAATATGTTCCCACAATACCATTCCAATACCAAATTACGAAAATGCAATACCAAAACAATACCACCCAGGTATTCTTTTAGTATCCAAATATCAATTTTTGGTATTTACAAAGTATTTTGCATGTATTTTTTTGGTATTATTCTTAGGTATTTTACCTCTTATGTCATGCTGGTCAAAACCAAATTTTGGTATTAGATCAGAAGTAGGTATTCATTAGTAATTTTCTCCTGCTCGGGTACGGCACTCGTGAGATCCGTCGCGGAACTCCTAAGAACCAGATACTGCAACCACACTATCCGTTACTCCGATGGATCGGTTTCCCGTGAAGGGGTTGACATGGGCATCACGGGCCCCCAAATGTACGTACTTCATCGACTTCCAGACCAGTACACTATATTCTCGGCAGATGCGGTCTTTGCTTTTATTGCTGCTACCACTCCCTTAAACAATCCGATTGCCATGTTTACGGATTTGTATGGATTCCGGGTCACAGCGGCATTCGTGGTAATACGGAGGCGGATCATCTAGCGGCTTCTGGTCACTTCCCACAAAGATGAAAGACTCAGTACTGTTGCCAAAAAGGAAAGGATTATCCAGAACAGGCTGAAAAATGTATGGAGAGTGATTGTCGAAAATGCAGTTCGCATTCCGGAAAGGGAGATCTACGGTGGATGCAATTCGGATCGAGAGCGCTGAGAAATCGTCCTATCAGAAACGGAGGGGTGGACTGTGACAACAATAGACGTCAAGAACGCATTCAATGAGGCTTACTGAGATGCCATCACCGAAGCGCTGCACAGAATTAAAGTATCTGACATCCTGTATAGCATTCTGGTGAGTTATTTCCAGAACCGAGAAATGGTCTACGAGATAGACATGGGTCAGAGATCGATTTGGATCACGGCGGGAGTTCCACTAGGCTCCATCCTTGGTCAAACGCTCTAGAACCGAATGTAAAACGGTATGCTGTCGCTCAATGTCTACTTAGGTTCGGACAAGCAACGTCGTCCCTCTGTCCGGAATGTGGAAATTTGGAGGAACCGAAACCGGACAGTCAAAGACCCCTAGATTTGAAGTAGTGAGAAAGGAGATTCCTGCCCTTAACGCGGAGAATGTCGTTGACGAAATATGTCAAGATGAGGGCACCTGGAATGCCGTCTTAAATACTGTCGGAGTTGCTAAGTAGAGAGACGATTAGAGTACTAGCAACGCCAGCTGACTGTACCCCATTAGGCATAAATACGTTAGGCATACGGACGTTAGGCATACGAACGTTAGGCATACGGACGTTAGGCATACGGACGTTAGGCATAATGGACGTTAGGCATAATGGACGTTAGACATAAAGTCATTAGGCATAATGGACGTTAGGCATAATATACGTTCGACATAATGGACGTTAGGCATAAAATACCTTGCTGCTGTTCAACTCTAGAAACCTGTTTCGAGCATGGTAAACAATGCTTATTAGAGTGTTGCAAAATTTGAAATTTTCGCTCCACAATACTTAAACGATTCCAAATCGGATCCTGACTAACCTCTCAAAATTTGAACCCATTTGGTGAGAAACTGAGATGGCACAAACCATTTGAAGTTTGTATGGGAATTACTATGGTAAAACCAAGATTTTTGTTCATGTCTATCTAATAATTCACCATATCGGTCTGCTTCAAAAACTTTCAGCTGTACTTGTAGAAAATTTTCCCAGCTACAACTTTGCTCAAGACCACTTTGCAAAGATCGAAAGTTATCAATGGTTCAATGCGCTGATGTCTTATGATCATGCTCAATCAACTGATCAGCAGGCAACATTGGTGTTTCTGGGGCGTTGAATAGGACACAAAAATCATGGCTACTATGTCACACTGCAAAATACAGTGTTGCCTACAGAGCAGCTGCTTGATCATGTCATAAGTTTACCAATCTCTTAAATAAATAATAACTTTTTCCTGTCTCGTTTTACATAGAAACAATCTTCTACAAAGTTGTAGCTGAGAAAATTTTCTATTAGAATGACTATCGAATTGTTTCGCAGCTCAATATGGAAAAAAGACTAGAAGGCAATGAACAAAAAGTTGAGATTTCCCATAGTAGTTTACAAGTAAACTTCAAATGGCTTGTGCGAAGTCTGTTTGTAACCAAAGGAGTTGTAACTTTGGGAGGCTAATCAGAACCCGATTTGAAACTATTTAAGCACTGTGGAGCGAAAAAGTCAAATTTTGCATCAGTCTAATGCTTAAATATATTAGGCTAAGCGTTGAATAAAAAATGATACAAGCACAGTTATAAGCTGTTATAAACCATTATTTATCATATCATAAGTGACGTAGCTACATATTTACTAAGATCCAAGGTTAGTAGCAATAGCGGTTAAATAATCTGGCAATGAAAACTCAGCATAGTTTTGACTATATCTTGAAATCAATCGCATCTAGAAATAAAAAAAAAAACAAATCACACATTTGTTGTAATATATTCTTACACACATATTACAATTGTCAAAGAAGGAAATTTTTTCCTCAAAGAACAGCTCATGAAATAAAAAATGGTGAATTCTGTGGTTTTTCATTCAATAACAAAAAAACAGCTAAGGTTGAATAAAATATGATTCCAAAAAACAGCTCATGCAATGAAGAATGGTGAGTTCTGTGGTTTTTAATTCAATAACATAAAAACATACCTGCTGCTTCCAGGATTTCCTGCCATACTTTTCGATACAACGATTCTGTTTGTGTTGTCATCAGAATGAAAACTAGCGGAACCATCTGCTGATGTGAGGGAGCGATACTTCCATGAACAGTGGCGAGTTGCCGAAACAAACAAGGAACTGTGGCAAACGTACCATCTGTAACCCAATACTTTACCTGTCCAAGACGTCGCAAGTTTTCATGAGTTCCAAAAACTAAGGCTCTTTTATTATTGTCACCGAAGTCAGCAATCAATAGACGGTCCCCATTATCATCCTTCTGGAATTCATCGGGTAGATTATGCCAAACGTTCTTTATGCCCAACGTCCATTATGCCTATCGTAAGGTTTTGTTTTTAAAGCCCAGCTCAGGTTGAGGTTCGCACTGACGAAAAGTTCGGTTTTTCGCATATTTTTTAATTGTACCAAATCAAACAAATATTAGTTTTCGCGTGTGGATAAGTGTAAATTAAGATCTATCACGTCTCCAAAAGTTTTTCTTAGTGATATTGGAAATTAACGTGAAAAATCTGGGACAAGAATTTGTTTCGAGTAGCTGTGGTGTCGCGTCGGTCGGTTTTTCATTTCGCTTGTTTTTGGTGCTTTGCCTGCCTCCCAAAAAAAGTTTTACCGGGTATTTTTTTTTGTGTGTGCTGGCGTTCTGCCTTCCGGAGGATGCACGCGAATGAGGTGTCAAGCAAAAATTCGGTGCAAATGAAAAACTTCGAATATGATTCATAATGTCGTGTTGGGTGGTAAAAACAACGCGGAAGATTTTTTCGATTACCGCGAGTGAACAAACCGGTCCTTTTTCGGAGGCAGAATTTGGTGAGATCCATCTGATTTATAATCAATCATGAATGCATATTTCCATATATTACTAAATACGCGCCAGATTTCGAAACATCACATTTCGAATTCTGGAAGTGTGTTTGCAGTACCATTATTCATATGATAACGGTAGTGTTTACATGCGGGGCTTATTGTATGTGAAAGTAACCTCGGAATGGACGTGAACTACCAGGCATTCTGAAATGGGTTGCTGAATCTGCAGTAGAGCTATCGCTTTCTAACTCCAGGACTAAACTTGCTTTAAATTATTACATCAAGGATTGTTGTGAGCAAATTTCTTCCATAATACCACTGCCGGCCGGTAGGGGTTAGATTGAATACACACACACACAATGTCCATTTTGCCTATCGTACATTATGCCTGGCGTCCGTATGCCTAACGTCCGTATGCCTAACCTCCATATGCCAAACGGCCGTATGCCTAACGACCGTATGCCAAACGTCGTGTACCCACGCCAGCTATAGCTTAGCTTAACCGGCTAGCGTGCATGACATTCTGTATATCGTGTATTCGAACTATAAGATGCTGTCACTGTATTGAAGAGTAGTCTGATTTACTTGTCATAATCCGGACGAATGTTATAAAAATATGAGCATCAACCACAACATCAACTGCAATTGCTCGACCCCTCTACACAGCTGTATTCATCATAGTACATAGTACAATTGCCACAAAAATAATCAAATCTCGATCACTGACCCGAAAAATTACCTATTTTCGTACGCTATCTGCTAAAAATAATCAAAACACGAATCATTTCCGCACGACTTAGAATGCACTACCGTAATGCACCGAATACCAGACAGTCCATAATTCCGGACATTTCATTTATTACTTCATGTTACGTCTACTTGGCATCATAATGAAAAGCGTCCGGATTTATGGACTAAGTGTCTGGATTTCGATTAAATACGGTACCTGATACTAGTTTAACGACATATTCTATTTCACGGAGGCACATTCTCATAAAATTCTAACGCATGCGCCCCCCTCATTTCACTAAATGCGACTTTCTCCACTGGTCATGCATGTTATGAACTCTCAACGAGCTGTGAGATCTTTCCCTCGCAGACGGTGAAAGTACTAACAGTGTGTTTATATTTTTGTATTTTTGCTGGTGTAAGCAAAATGTCACGCGGCTCGCGGCGGTGATGACCGACGTCACTGTATGCATGTGGATGTAGGACGCCATCCGGAACATATGTTTTCGGTTTTCAAGATGCAGATCATACCGGCCGGCGCACGGGCGCATCTGTGACCGGCTGACTTTATGAGTGTTAGTATGTCGTCGGTTCGGGAAAGCGACTCTTCAACGTTTTGTGTACATTTTGCCTAAATTTAATTTCAGTTCATTGTGAATTCTTGGTAGGACCAGACCGACAGCTTCAAAAGGATTGTTAAGCGTTAGTTCAGACTAAAATACCCGATTGTTACCGGGAGAGCAAAATGTTCAAGCTGAGGTAAATGTGCTATATTTGGGAAATTTTCCTAGCGAGAAAGATTTATGAAATTTCATGTCCATTTTTAGCATTTTGGCTCTGTTGCTCGTATCGGCTTCGGCGAAAGCGGATTACGAAGGCACATATAGCTGTTATTCTGGACGAAAGGAGTGCAAATTGACGAATGTCAAGTATGAAACGCGTGACGCAGTCGCAAGCATTACCATTCTGGGTGGCAATGGACCGTTTTTGGATATTGAGTTTGTAGATTCATCTTTCCCGATCATTCCTCCGTCGTTGTTTCGCGATAACGACAATGTTCGGTCAATTGCAGTGAAGGAATGTGAAATTGAAGCAGTAGAACCGAGAACATTCGACAATGCAAGAGAACTGAAATTCCTAAAGATACAGAAAAATTGGCTGACAAAACTGTACAACGACATGTTTAAAGAAACCAAGCTGGCAAAAGTGAATTTTGGAAACAATCGAATCTCAGAAATTGAAGAGTTTACTTTTAGAGGATGTAGAGACCTGGATACGCTGAGGATGTCTAAAAATAGAGTCAAAGTTCTCCCAGTTAAAATTTTCGCTGGACTGAATTTATTGGAAGATTTACATTTAGATCACAACAGAATTGAAGAATTGGAGGAGTATTTGTTCCGAGACTTGACCAATTTGCAGGATTTGGATCTTGAACACAATTTCATTCAGATTCTTAAACCAAATACTTTCTCTGGTCTATCCAACCTACGAAAGCTGGTTCTGAAAGAGAATGAACTATCCTCAATTGATCCTCAAGCGTTCAACCCATTGACCAATTTGGTAGAACTTGATTTGGAGGAAAACAACCTTAAAGTCCTAGCTCCGGAAACTTTTGCCAGAATGACCTACCTTAAGGAGTTGATACTAACCGAGAACTACATCGAAGATCTAAATGATCACATTTTCGATCAAAATGGAATGCTACAAACGCTTGTTCTGAACAATAACTCCATAGAGGCACTACGGCCTGCTCTATTCTCAAGACTTCCCAGATTGGAGCAGCTCTCAGTGCAGTTCAACGAGCTCGCAAGTCTTGAAGATAATTTGTTCTCGAGCAACCAAAATTTGGACACCCTACACTTTGAAGGAAACGTCATTGCCAAGATTGCCCCTCGAGCATTCGCCAATCTCAGACGTCTCGAGATTCTGGACCTGGACGACAACAATATAGCGTCAATTGATGGAGGAATTTTCAGCGATTTGAGCGGCTTGGAAAAACTATTCTTGGAAAACAATCTACTGCGAGATTTGCGAGCTGGATCTCTTCGAGGAGCAAGCAACTTGCGGAAGCTATATCTCAAAGACAACTTGATACGGAAAGTTGACGAATCATTCTTCAACGATGTTCCACAGTTGAAAAGCCTCTCGCTGCAAGACAATCTGATTGATGTCCTGCCTCGGAACCTGTTTTCCAGCCTCGGTAGATTGGAGGAATTATCTTTGAGTGACAACAACCTCGTTGATTTGGAGGACGACGTGTTTCGCGCCGTTGCTGGATCATTGCAGGAGCTTTATTTGGCCAACAATAAACTGACAACCATTCGCTCATCAGCTCTGAATTTGGGTTCGCTGGAGTACCTGGAGCTTGCCGAAAACTACTTGCAGGATCTTCCCCGGAATGTTTTCGAGCACCTGAGAAGGCTGGACTCACTAGATCTAGATGATAATAAGTTCAGCAACATTCCAGAGGCCATCCGAGGTTTGTCCACCTTGAAAGATTTGGAAATAGCAGGTAATCGAATTGCTCGAATCGATGCGCAAATTTTGAACTCGTTGCAAAGTCTCAAGGAGCTAGATTTATCGGACAATCGCCTACCGGACGTCCCCACCGACGCATTCAACAGCCTGCGAAACCTCAAGGAACTGTTTTTGAACGAAAACCGGATCAAGAAGATTGCGGAAAGCAGCTTCATGCAGAACCGTAACCTGAAGAAGCTTGATCTGAGCAAGAATGAAATCGGTGATTTGAATCAGAAAATGTTTTCAGGCCTGTACAACTTGGAGGAACTCAACCTGGGTGACAATCCAATTGGGCGCATAGATGAGTATGCATTCCGGGATCTATCTAGATTGGAATCACTATCACTGAGAAACTCAACCTTGCCGTACATCCAAGGAAGTCCTTTTATGGGGCTTTCTGCGCTAGAAAAATTGGACTTGGACTTCAACAAATTGAAGGAACTGAACGATGGCATGTTCCGAGGATTGGAGAGCATAGAAGATTTGCTTGTGAACAGTAATCCCCTGACGGATATCCAAGTTTCTACGCTTCATCAACTGGGAAACCTTCAAGTGCTTAGCATCGGACCTAACGATATCATCAGCTTTGACAAAGATTTGTTCCGATACTCTTTGCGCTTGGAAGAACTGTACATGAGTGGAATCGAGTTCAGCTCCCTTCCCCGGGGAATCTTCCGTCCTACGCGTAAGTTGGAAGTGTTGTCGATTAATAACAACAAACAGTTAGCGTCAGTTGAGAAAGAATGGTTTAAGGACCTGCCGAACCTCAGGGTTCTCAACCTGGTGAATAACGGTATTAACAACTTTCAACCGGGAGTTTTCGATGACCTGGAGGATCTAGAAAATCTCTTTCTGACCGACAATTCGGTCGCATCTTTGGACGTTAAACTGTTTGCCAAACTTCTTCAACTGGAAGCTTTAGAGCTTGAAGGCATGTCGTTACGATCTCTACCTGTTGGAATCTTTGATAATCTCGTAGATCTGGAGTTGCTGGATTTGAGCAGAAATCATCTGAACTCGTTGAATAACCGAATCTTTTACAACCTCTTCTCATTGGAAAAACTGTCACTTGCGGAGAATGGAATCAGTTCACTGAGCCCAGCATTGTTCGATGGGTTGCGGAACCTCAACGAAGTGGATGTTAGTCATAACGAATTAAGTTCTATAGATCCTAATTTATTCCGTGATTGCTTGAACCTTGAAACACTGGATCTGTCCGGTAACAAATTAGCCGTTTTTGACCTTCCACGAATGAGTTTTGCAAAGACTTTAGAAGAACTGGATGTATCCCAAAATGTGCTTACATCGCTGATCGTAACCGAAGAGGTGTACTCGATAATTGCTGATGACAATCAAATTAGTACGATTGTGATGGATCAATCACCATCATACAATCTGGCGTTGCTGTCCCTTTCGAACAACCGACTCTCGGATGTTTCTCCGATCTTCCGTTTCAACAACCTGATATCGCTGAACATCTCCCGAAACGACCTTTTCCAGATGGATTTCGGTCGGCTGACAAACTCGTTAGACGAGCTGGAAGTTCTAAATGTGTCCAATTGCAAGATTTCTTCATTCGGAGTGCAAGGACTGACCACCCACGAGTCTATGATAGCGTTGGACATTTCTAACAATGAGCTGCCGAATCTGGATTTTGAGATGTTAAAAAATTTCCCGGATGTGGAAACGTTTGTATTCGGTGGTAATCGATTCGATCGATTGGATTTTGATACACTGTTGAATACCTTCAAGGACATGGAGCTGGTAGGAATGCAAGGCACCGAATGGGATTGCGGGTCATTGGACAGAGCTGCTCACATTTTCGAAGACAATGACGTGGATTTTTGGAAGAGCGGACATTTGGAATCATGCAGGGGAAGAAATATTAATGGAATCTGTTGCAAGTAGTGCGTAAAATTAGTGTGCTTCTACAATAGAAAGTAATTTATGGTGTTCTCATGATTGATTTAAGATAGCATTTGAATAAGATGGAAAAAACCAGTGTTGATAGAAAAGATCGCATATCTATCCTGAGTTCACACTGTGCGATTGGTTCCACTTTTCATTGTTCTCTCAAAGAGTGAAGAAAAATCCCATCCAGTAGCTTTGATTTATTGTCGAAAAAATAAACCATTTTTTGTAGCTCATCAATGAATCACTTGTTTTCGGAAACCACGTAAGAGCGAGAAAAGAAACAAAATCTTCACACTCGGCAAGCTGCCATCGCCATCCGGAGAAGCAGCAGCACCAGCAGCGATGGTAATTATGTTCATTATTTTCGTTGTTTGGCCTACCAGCGTTACAAATTTCACTTCTGGGCCCACGGCCAGTTGTGGACCTGTGGTCAGCGTCCGTGGGCTTTGTACTTGAAGGTTCATTCAGCAAAACACCTTAACCACAGTGGCGTGCAGGGAAACAGGGTTATGGGGAACAGCTTTGGGGTTTGGCTATCATGATCTTCTTCCTTTCATTTTTCATACGTCGCAATTGAATTTTGCTCGAGAAAATTTCCGATACAGATGATATGAGGACAGTGCATTTTGAAAAAGTACTTGTATTAAGGGATTGTTTAGCCATATTTGAGCTCAAACAAATGGTCATACTAATATAAAATTTGGTTAAGCATAATGTCATTTTGAAATTATTTTTCAGCGACTCGTAGCCTCCCTTTTCCTCAGCTCGCATACGCCATTGTGGTCCATTGGAAGAGTATCCTAGGCATCATATCTGCTGACCACATCAGCGAAACAGCGCGCTCCTCCGGATCTTTCTCCCATCGCATCGTCATCGTCGCCCAAGCCAAGCCGAAATTCGTACGTAACCAAATTTTTATGAATGAACCAGCCAATTTTATTCACCGCACACCAACCATTGGGAAAATAATTGAATCTGGTCTGCTGCTGTGATTTTGACCTGTCCGCTTGCTCTGTATGGTGGGGAAACACATGTGCCAACACACATCCACGGCCGGCTACACACCCGTGTGTGCCCCGTTTGACCGTTTTTGGACTCTCCGTGGTCTGCTGCATCTTTCTCTTCCTTTTGCCTAGATATTTGTGTGGACCGTGTGTGGATTCCTCGCGCAGCTAAATTCGATCATAATTCATCTATTTATTATACGATTATTAACGGATAATTATGATCATTTTTTAGACGTTCCCTGGCTCCCGCGTATCGCGCAGAATCGATTTTCTCTTTTTTGAGGTGTTTTGGAGCCTGCTATTGGAGTTCCAGAACATCCTGTTTAAACCCGCGCGTTCGCAAGCTGTCTGCCGGATCGATGGTTCCCGTCCCGTGTGCGTGGTGGTGGGACCAGGTCGGGTCGCTTGCGGGATTCAAGCGTAACGATCTCAAACGGTGGCAGCGGAAGAATTACCGAAGCAATTATCGACTGACTTTTTTTTTTCGCCTTTACTCGGGTGAACTGACTGCGTGAAGCGTGTAGTTTTGTTTCCCTCGAATTCCCAGATTATGCCAGATCGACCCAAGGGGGCTATTCTTCAGAGTTAGAGATTTTGTGTTTTGTTGTGAAAGTAATTATCAAAAGCCTACAGGAAGAATGGGAGAAGAACGACTTCTTGGACCTTGCTTTTATAGAAATTTTCTGAATCCGGTGTACTTCAGCGACTGATGATGCTGGCAATTCAGAATGTTTGATACGAGTTGTTTAAGTTGAAAACTCCAAAAAATCACACACAACCTCAAATCAAAAGTTACCTTGTACCGTTCTCAATTAAATGTCAAATTTGTTTTCTAATATTTCTCATGCTGCATTGCAATTTGTGGCACTAAATTTGACAAGTCCTTGAAAAAGTAGTTGAGAAGACATTGAAAACGTCTATAAGATGTTTTGCCTGGCAAAATTCACAGCACCTCATGAAACTTTAAAGCCCGGTCCATTCAAAATTGAATCCACGACAATTGTCTGTATTTCGGGTGTACACACTTATTCTGTTTTTGGCTATCCTGATATTTTGGAATTGATAGACTATTCGGTAAAGTTTTGGAAATCAGTAAATAAAAACCCAATTATTAAAAATTACTCTGAACTTTTAAAGGCTGCAAGTGAAATATTACTGACTTTCAAAAATCTAGTATTATAATATCTCCAGTAAACCAATCTAAGCACGAAGATAAGGGTGCTTCAGTACAAGTTAAAAAAAGAATTTTCGGCACTGGATGCTGAAAAGTAGTTCCTTTCGACACTGTTATTTGAGTTATGAAAAGTACCCCGTTACGTTATTCGAAACAGTGATAAAAAGTGACACTTTTCAATAATGAGTGCTAAAAAATATTCAATCAAAGCCACCCTCCAGTTTGTTTCATAACCCCAAAATATGAGTATGCATAAAATGGTAATGATTTTACATAGTTGAAGATGCTTATTTCAAATAACAGACAGAAGTGGTAATTTTTATACGATAGAGAGAGGAGATGAAAGTATAGAATTGATAGCTCCGTTTATAGTACGGCAGTGTGAAAATTGCAGTAGACAGCGAGCTAGGATATCTTTTAGGAAGGTACAAATCGGTTTTATCATCCCTCAGTAATGATTGATGATTGTTTAGAGGTCACGCAAATTATTTAAAATTTGTATCGAGATTATGGTGAGCTACTATGGGAGATTTTCTTGGAGATTTAAGCATTTCACTAGGGCAGGTGAGCCAGTTTTTTCACTAGCTCCAGTATTTGACCCTAGTGTAGTTATAGCTAATTATAAGATAACATGGATATATTTGACTATTAGCGTCTGTATTTCGGCAGAGCAGCGTGTGTTGAGCTAGAAGACAACATTTTAGTTCATAATCATAATGCTTGTTTAATTAGGTCTCAGGGTTCTCAGGGTTCTCAGCCGTACGGCTAAAAACTGGACAATCTGCTTCGCGATGTTTTTACCAAAATATGCCAATTGTTTGTGCGATTAAGTGAAGTAAGAAGTTCAGTTATGATCACAAAAAACGAGTATTTTCCGAATTATTTTATCCTTTTAAAGGGCGGCCAAAAACTGGTGCATCTAATCATAGTGACACTAGTGTTGTTGAGTGGTAGGGGTTTTGACAATGCCAGTTTGTGTTTAGCTAAACTTCCGTTTCCCCAAAATTATTCACAGAAACTTCAACCTTCCCAAATGGGTCAAGAACAAACCCGTCACGGGACTCACGGGAGGACTCCAAGACTCACGATCCCACCAATCTGTCTGAAAAGGAAGCATTTATCGTTTCGTGATGATGTTTCACCCTACACCTTTATTTTTGACGTCGCTGGGAATAAACGATTTGCACACGGAACTGCGTGTCATCGGTAAAACAAGACTCCAGAACTAAGTGCACAGTTCATTTTGCGTGCCCTGACCTGCTATTCGATGAGCATTGGCCGAATTGAAGACGTTATCTAAATCCCATCGAATTCAACCCACCGGAATGGAGGTCACCTTCGTTGTCGTCTGTAAGGTATACCGGTTGTCCTTTTGACGTAGGATTACGTCTTTCGGCAACATATTGGGGGTGCAATTTCGAAAAAACTGAAATCGACCGCATTACGAAAAGAGGTCAGGTTTTGACCACATATAACTCTGTCAATAGCAGATAGATTTTGTTTGTTTAGAATAAACAAAACGATTGTAAATGTATCTACCAATCTGTTTCATTGAACACTATATTGATTTTCAATAGGTCACTCCCGAAAATTACACAAATGTCCAACTATTGCAATAGTGATCAGAACAACGCATTCCCTAGCACAGATTTGAAAATAGAATTCCATGCGGTCTCACTGAACGGTGCTCATTCAATCACCGTGTGTGGTGGTGTCCGGTCATCGGTGTCAGCAGCAGCAGCAGTTTTTTCGGCGTGTGGCGTTGAACATTGTACACAACGAAAAGCTACCTGCAAGCAGCGTGCTGCAGCCCACATGAGCGTCCATTCACCGAAGAAGGAGGAAGAAGCCTCACCGCTACTGATCGGGATCCATCTTCGTGAGTCGCTGTGGGCCATCTATGCCAAGAGCGTCACCCTCGTTCCAAACAACATACACCTCGCCAGCCTCATCCGTGTTGATGAACACCCTAATAGTTCAGCATTACTCAACCATCACGACAAAACGGACATTTTCAAGTTGAACATTGCATTAGGTCCTAAGTAACATTGATCGATTCTCTTTGTTGACTTTGTCTTTCGTTAATTACTTGAGCACACTGTTTCTTATAATATACTCATTCAAAGTTTCATATTCAAAGAACTAAATTGTTTGAGTTTCACCCATTTTTTTTTCTACCTTCATCGAGCATTATCAAAGTAACCCCAAATCAAAAAACTGAAGCTCGGTCACAAAACTAAAAAAAAATAGTGCAAATGCTTTAATTTCCGTTAAACATATTACTAAAGAATTGACTCTTGGATCCTCAGTACTTGTTTTAAACATATAAAATTTGAAAAACAATCATTACTGTAAAAATTATTTAGAATATACTTTAAAAACCAATCAATGTTACCCCGTTTTACGGTCCTATACTTTTGCTGTGACATCAAAATTACCTTTCGTAATCCTACGTCAAATCTACGGTCGTGTCTTGGATACAACCTTTTACTTTTTTCCATGATTTGATTTCCGTACTGCGTACCAATGCTACCAACGCCAAGGAGGCATCGACCCATCAACTCAAAAAACCGGAGACCATCGGATGGCGTGATCAGAGATTTTATGCTTCAGAAAAACCCGACGGCGCTGACTTGTCCGGTTGTCCTTTAACAGATATTGTTTTGTGATCTGAAAACTCGGGGAAAGACAACGACAGTTTCTACTACGAACTAGGAAAGACTCCATGTGTGCGAAAAAATGGATTGATCATTATTTAACAAAAACGCACTCAAGGCAAATTAACTATCTGTTTACATTTTCCATCATGACCATC